TCTTCTTTTTCCTCTTCCTTCTTCTTCTTTTTCTTCTTTTTTTCCTCTTCTTCCTCTTCTCCCATCATTGCCGCGAAAATCGGCCAATTTTTTTCCAACTTTACAAATAAAAAAAAAAGTGCCAAAATCAAGAAAAACGGCCGACCAATTAACCCATTAACAGTGCAAAAATTGGCTTTTTTTTTTTTTTTTTTTTTTTTTTTGACCCATCTATGGCCTGCCTAAGATGGACGTCTCAGTCTGGACTATTCTTTTCATATAGTAAATGGCCCCTACTATGGGGTTATTTACGAAGCCTAGAGAGTGCAGCTCTGTATAGAAAGCAATCAGCTTCCAGGTTTTATTGTCAACGTTTAATTGAACAAGCTGAAGTTAGAAACTGATTTGCTACCACACAGCTGCACCAGATTCTGTGGGCGCCAGTTTTAGTAAATCTACTCCTATATTTTCATATGCCTCATTGAGAAAACCAAGAATGTCTTTTCTGTAGCTGTAGATAAAATAGTCATGTCCTTCATTTGTCAGCCAAAACTTGCATATTTCAATTAGTAATGAACTGAATGCAGGGTTCTTTCTAGAATCTATCTTGGTACTGAAGGTTTTAGGATCCAGTCAACTGAATCTGCATTCTAATTTCTTTGAAATTTTAATGCACAGCAAGAATCTTTTAGCAGTAGAAATGTTGAAACATAATTTTAATTCAAACATTTGATATTAGAATGAATTGTTGTACACAGTACAATATTTGTTACTAAACCCAGGACCCTGCATTCACTATATCTCATCTCCCACAGTACACACAACATGGAAATGAAATTATTTTAGTAAATATAAACAGCTAAATACCTTTTCTCATCAGGTAGAGCCGTCTTTTGACTTCAGCAGAGCACTGGTTAAGGCTTGTAGGAGGAGTTTTCTTTCTGCTCTAGAAGGATGCAAAACCCCTGACCTCTGTCTGGACAGTGCTGATTGTCCCTGTGCTGATCATATGCACTCTCCCAAGAAAAAAAATTATCTAGCAATATATTCCAAACTGAGCATGTACAGAAGGGCTACAGGTTCAGTCTGTCTTATCAGCATGGACATTTGAACAAGAGGAGGGGCAGAGAAGTCAGGATTAAACAGCCTTTTTACACAATGCAGAGGATTAACCCCTTAGGTTCCACAGTGAGTATAACAAGCATGCTTTACTGTAAATACAGACTCATTTTACTGTTGTGGGTTTAGTAACACTTTAAGTGTCTTGTAATTTTTTCAAGATTGGTTATTGTTCAGAACATTTTTTTTCATCTTGCTTAGCTTTCCAGTGTACCCATAGCTTGAAAAGGTCCAGTAGCATTGCTTACAAACAAGACTTTTATTCTTTGCTCCAGGATTGGGTAGCTCCACTGCTCAGCTTTTTCGCTAGCTCTTGCTCCATCTTGGCCACATCCATATAGCAATAGAGTTTGGGTCAAGAAAGATCTTTGTAAGGGCTCGTGTCACACTTGACTGTTTACCAACGCTTGCCAAACGCCCCTATAGTGTTTGGTAAGCGTCGGTCCAGCGTTTGCGGACCGTTTTTTAACGCTCGGCAAACGCCGCATGAGCGGTTAAGCGGCGGTTGCTAGGCGTTTGCCGAGCGTTAAAAACGCCCCACAAACGCCTATAATGAAGTTTGAATGGTGTTACCACTCCACAAACGCCCTGCAACCGCGTCGCAAACGCCGGCTGGGCGTTTGCGAAGCAGCACCATAGCATAGAATAGGAGGCTTCAACGCCTCCTGACTCGACCAGAGGTGTCCGTTTTGCCGCGACGCTAACGCTCCCGTTACAACAGCACCATGTGCTGCAATGTGCAGAATTGTCCAAGGCGTTTGGGAAGCGGTAAAAACGCTTCCCAAATGCCTCTCTGCCGCCTGCACACAACGCTAGTGTGAACGTAGCCTTACTCAGGTGTTGTAGTAAAGTGTTCAATTCTCATAATGCAGTTTTGTAATCCATTCATGGATTGAAGAGTCTTGCTGGATGTGCCAGTGGGGAGGGATAAGCATCTGATAAGTGTTGTACAGTAAATTTTTCAGTTGTTAGAAGGAAGCCAGGATGATGGACAGCAGAACAGTTTGGGGAGCAAGTGGGATAGTTGATCCTGCAACTTTGATATAAAGTACGTGGGTATCTATCACAAAATGGTTAGATAAGAGCACATTCCCACCAGATATGTGCCATTTTTCTGTTTTGTAGATAAGCATCTCACCACTGTGTGTCTGGGGTCGAGGGAAAGTAGGAATGGAGTTTACTGGGGCACTTCTATTGTCTCAGCAGGATTTAGAATTTTATTTTCTTTGTTGTACATGGCAGTAAAGTTTGTGTAAGAAAATAAATGCCCATATTCTGGGCCCCTGTACCAATCATTCGTAATACCTTATCTGGAATATGGAGTTCAGTTTTGGGTACCAATTTACAAAAAGAACATTGGGGAACTGGAGAAAGTACAGAGAAGGGCAATTAAACTGATGAGGCATGGAGGAGATCAGCTATGAGGAAAAATTAGAGGAACTGAATTTATTCTCTCTTGAGATTACGGGGGGATATGATCAACATGTATAAATACATCAGTGGTTCTTATAGTGAACTCGAGTTAATCACCCTGAGGTCATCACAGAGGAACAAGGGGGCAATCTTTATGTCTGGAGGAAAATAAATTTAATTTCCGAACACAGAAAGGTTTCTTCACAGTGAGAGCTGTGAAAATGTGGAATAGACTCCCTCAAGAGTTGGTTCTGGCCAGCTCAGTGGATTGCTTTAAAAAAGGCCTGGATTCTTTCTTAGATACACAGAATATAACTGGATACTAACATCAGGTTAAGCTGATCCAGGGAATATCCGATTGCCTCTCGGGGGATCAGGAAGGAATTTTCCCCCTGCAGGAGCAAATTGGATCATGCTTTGCTGGGTTGAACTGGATGGACTTTTGTCTTTTTTCAGCCAGACCAATTGGGGTGCATTCACACTTTTGCGTAGCGGGAACAAGTGTTTCCACTCACGATTTTGTTGAGTGATTTTGCTTGCATTTTTTTCATCTCGCACATAGAGCAGCCCATTAACATCACGGGCTGCCCTATGCACAAATGTCACCCAAAAAGTATCTCATGCTCCTTTTTTTTTTTTTTTTTTGGGCGACAAGCGTGTGCACGTTGTTAAAACTTGCATTAGCTGCAATCGAAAATCACATTGTGTTTTGGGTACCATTAACTACTTGCCAACCGCAGATAGCCAAATGACGGCAACACTGCGGCTGGCCAGTTCTGGGAGGGCGTCATATGACGTCCTCCCAGAACGCGCTCTCCTTCGCGTCCCTGGGGGCGCGCACCCGGTGATCTCCGTGATCACTGTGTCCTACGGACACAGCTGATCACTTGATGTAGTAAAAGGCCAATCACAGCAGCCTTTTACCATGTGATCAGCCATGTCCAATAACACACTGATCACCGGGAAATGCAATTGCCGGTTCTCGGCTGCACTTTCCTCATGCTGTCAGAGCGTGAGTAAAGTACTGCAGAGAACCGGCAGTTGTCAGAGCAGGGATCGGCACCGATCATCAGGGCACTGATGATCAGGTGCCCTGATGATCGGTGCCCAGCAGTGCGCCCACCTGTGCCCAGCAGTGCACCCTCCTTTGTCAAGCAGTGCCACTCACCTGTGCCACCCACCTGTGCCCAGCAGTGCCACCCACCAGTGCCCATCAGTGCAGCCCAGCAGTGCTGCCAATCAGTGCCACCAGTCAGTGCCTAGCGGTTGCGCCAGTCAGTGCCCAGCAGTGATGCCAGTCAGTGCCACCTATCAGTGCTGTCTATCAGTGCCGCCTATTAGTGCCCATCAGTGCTGCCTCATCATGCACATCAGTGAAGGAGAAAAAGTACCTGTTTGAAAAATTTTATAATAGAAACAAACTTTTTTTTTATTTCAAATTGTTTGCACTTTTTTTGTTTATAGCGCAAAAAGTAAAGTGCCCAGCGGCGATTAAATACCACCAAAACAAAAATCTATTTGTGAGAAAAAAATTATAAAAATTTCATATGGGAACAGTGTTGCATGACCGCGCAATTGTCAATCAAAGTGCGACAGCGCTGAAAGCTGAAAATTGGCTTGGTAAAGAAGGGGGTATAAGTGCCTGTAGGCAAGTGGTTAATGCATAATGGCACCCAAAAGTGCAACACACGTTCTGCCACAATTTGGGATCTATTCTGACCGTGGCCCTAAACCGAGGGATGTCAACGGGCTTTGTTTGGGAAGGAATTGATTTTATGGATTTCATTTGCTAGTATGCCAACCAGAAGGATGTAGTTGTTCTAGATTGTAGTAGGCATTGGGATATGGGGGTAGTGCACTGTTTGTATTTGTTCCAGTCAGTGAGACCAGAACTTGCAGCGCAGTCCATCAGGCAGTAGATGGATCTTGCGGAACCAAGGCAGCTATAGATTTCATAGAACTTACTTTAGGATTAAGGAAAGAAGTTTCTTACTTCAGCGCAACAGAGAGTGGGATTAGCAGTTCATTGGTGAACTCCCTGAAGTTACTCTTTAGGCTCCATGCACACTGGCTTACTAGTGTTTAGGAATATTTAGGGTTTTTCCTGCCAGAAAAACTAACTCAGAAACACAAAAACAGAATTTTAGTTTTTATGCCTCTAAACACTAAGCTTAAAAAAACGCTTCTAGACTACCTAATGTGCATGGACACATAGGGGTTATTTAGTAAAACTGCATGGTACAAAATCTCATGCAGCTCTGCATATAAACCAATCAGCTTCCAGGTTTTATTGTCAAAGCTTAATTGAACAAGGAAGTTAGAAGCTGATTGGTTGCCATGCACAGCTGCAACAGACTCTGAGTACACCAGATTTAGTAAATCTACCCCATATGATAACATTAGTTGCTTCTTCAAGTAAAATGCTAAACTCCTCTAGGAGCAGTGGTTTTTTAAGCCAGTGTGCATGGATACTCAAAGTGTTACTAAACCCAGGCCCCTGCATTCACTATATCTGATCTCCCACAGTACACAGAACATGGAAATGAAATTATTTTAGTAAATATAAACTGCTAAATACCTTTTCTCATTAGCAGTTAGAGCAGTCTTGTCACTCCTATCAGTGTCCAGCAGAGCACTGGTTAAAGCTTGTAGGAGGAGTTTTCTTTCTGCTCTAGGAGAATGCAGAACCCCTGACTTCTGTCTGGACCATGCCGATTGGCCCTGTTCTGATCACATGCACTCTAGTAATACACACCAAACAGAGCATGTGCAGAGGTTCTCCACAAGATATGTATTATCAAGAGATAAGAGAGGGGCACTTGAAGAAGGGGAGGATCAGAGAAGTCAGGATCAAACAGCATTTTTACACAATGCAGAGAATTAACCCTTTAGGTTGCACAGTGAGTAACACTTTAAACTCTGAATTTCACGTGTTTGTCTGGCGTGTACCTTTAAGACTAAATAACAGCATTCACAGTGTTGGAATTAGCCTTTACACGGTAAAGCCACATAACATAATTACACTAGAATCCTACAAGAATTGTTTTTCATTTTCTTTGTGTTCTTTGTTTTAATAATTTCTACTGCAGCACTGCCTTCTTTCACAGAAGTATTTGACACTCTGCTCTGCAAATGGTTGTTATTAACCACTTTTTCTGTAAAGTATCATTACTGCAATTATGTTGGTAATTAGAACAAAAAAAATTAGATTAGGAGACAGTAGGGCATGCCATAAAGATGAGTTTCCTGATGCAAACCAAGGCATTATAAACATGTTTTAGTTCACTTGACTTGTACCAGTTCATTATCTTCTCTAAAGCAATTTCTATCAGGAAAGCAAACTATAGTTCTCCAGACCCTCACATATAGGCATGTGCTGATGAATCTGTTTGCATATTACTTTTTTTTTTTTAATGAAAACTTGCTTGATTTGTACCAGTTCATTATCTTCTAAAGCAATTTTGTTTATCAGAACAGTGAACTTTATTTCTCAAGCCTTTATTTAATAGACGTGCTTATGAATCTGTTTAGGTCATTTTTTTTTTTTTTTTTTTTAAGTGGTAGTAAACTCCGCTTAGTTACTTTTACCTACAGGTCAGCTTATATAAAAGCTGTAGGTAAAATAAATATCTCCTAAACATGCACTGTTTAGGGCTCATGTACACGGGGCATTTGGAAAACTCTGCTGAATGAGTAGGTTAAAAAACGTCAGTTTAGCCGCGTTTGCATACCGCGTTTCTGTGCGTTTGCTTTTAAAAGATTTTTTAAAAGATAACCTCAGGAGACCTTCCCAAATGCCCAGAATGCACTGAAAAATAGTAAAAAATTAACTACTTCAAACATTTTGAGAGGAATAGAGAGAGCAGAAGCAGACAGAGCAGTATGTGTTAAGATGACCTGTCTTTTCTGGTTGTTTTCACTATGGATCCCATCATGAGCATAATGCAGCACGTTCTGCCATTTTTTCCTTTGGTCGAAACCTGGAACTGACTGCGCTGGTGTACTAGGCCCATTTGAATACAATGAAAACGCTTTGCATGCATTTCTGATTATGAAAAAATACTCTGGACAGCATCTGGACATGGAACAGTTAAAAAAATGCTTCTAAACGCTTATAAACGCAGTTAGCCGCGTTTTGCATTTGATACGCTGGTAAAATCTACTCCTGCACGCAAGTTTGGTGCATTCAAAAAAAAAAAACCACTGTAAACTCAACTGCTTGTGAACAACGTAGTGTAAATAAACACATAGGAAAACATTAGGGAGAATTCCGGGGCTGTTGAAAAAAAAAAACGCTGAACAGCTCCTGACTGTCAGTTTAGGAGCTGCAGTGTACATGAGCCCTGTTTTGCAGCAGGTGATGTCCCTGGCGCATGCTCACTGCTGTTAATTGAGGGAACAGTGAATGTGTTGTCAATTCAGAGCTCTGTGCCATGGCTGTGACTCCCGTATGCATGCGCAAGGAGTGAAGTCACTGTGGCTCAGCCATTCAAATGGCCGGAGCCTGCGAACCTGGAAGAAAGACTGGGTAAAGACGGAAGCCTTGTCAGCGGTGACAGCCCACCGCTGTATGGCTTCATTTTACAGGTAAGCCATTCATAATATGCTGATATGCAATGCATACTAGCACATTATGCCATTAACCTTTTTTTTTTTTTACTAGACTTGCTATCACATTAATGAAAACTTGCATTTGTACCATTTTCTATGGATGCAAGATGTTCACTTTAGTGCAGACCCCAACAGATCATATACTCCCTTTCTTTTCTTTCCCTTCCTTGTTCAGCCCCAGGGGTGAAAGAAAAGCATGGTTTAAGCTAACAATTGCTAGAGTTGAAACTTACGCAGGACTATTGATGAGTCGGGAGGTCTTCCATAACCCAGAAGTTCCAGATATATTCCTTTTAGCTCCCTGCACACAGTGCAGTGGTGGGAAGGGGAGGAAAGAGGAAATGTATAAACTGCTGGTGATCGGGGTGGTAAAGTTACCCAATGCTTCTCTAAATGAGAAAAGCACACGTATACTTTAAAGCCCAATTCTTGTGAACAATTTTTTAAGAAAACTTTTACTTCAATATCATGTCCTCTTTTGCATGTTGTCCCCTGCAAATACCATAGGGAGGGGAGGACTGGGGGAATAAAACTGGGCTTTAAAGAATCTGCTTCGTACAAAGCATCCATAGCACAAAGCCCAGCTTCATCGAAAACTTTTTCTTCTGTCTTGAATGCAGCGGGGAATGTTTAAACCCCTGTCGGGTTTGATTTGATGCCTGTGTCTCTTTTGGGAATGTGTTCCCTCACCTCTTGTTAGAACAAGAAATGACGGGGAATCTCTCTTGCAGCTGCAAAACCAAAAACACATTTTTAACCACTTGACCTCCTGAGGATTTACCCCCCTTAATGACCAGGCCTCTTTTTGCAACTCGGTGCTGCACTAATTCAACTGATAATTGCGCGGTCATGCAATTCTGCACCCAAATGAAATTTAGGTCCTTTTTTTCACACAAATAGAGCTTTCTTCCAGTGGTATTTGATCACCTGTGCGCTTTTTATTTTTCACGCTATAAACAAAAAAAGGCCAAAAATTTTGAAGAAAAACAATATTTTTTACTTTCAGCTATAAAAAATATATAGTAAACTCCAAAGTTGGTTATAAATTTAGGCCAAAATGTATTCTGCTACATATTTTTGGTAAAAAAAATTCCCAATAAGTGTATATTGATTGCTTTGTGTGAAAGTTATAGCGTCTACAAACTATGGTATAGATACTGCAATTTACGCCATTTTTTTGCTATACAGCGCTGCACTAGTTTAACAGACAATTGTGCGGTCATGAAATATGGTACATAAATGAAACTTACATCCTTTTTTTTCCCCACAAATTGAGCTTTCTTTCGGTGGTATTTGATCGCCTCTGCGGTTTTTATTTTTTGCGCTATAAAAAAAAAAAGCTGACAATTTTGAGGAAAAAAAAAACAATATTTTGGACTTTTTGCTATAAAACATGTCCAGTAAAAAAAAAATGTAAAAATCAAATTTAGTCATAAATTTCTGCCAAAATGCATTCTGCGACATGTCTTTGCTAAAAAAAAAAAAAACAATACGTGTAAATTAATTGGTTTACTTGAAAGTTATAGCGTTTACAAATGGCGGGATACTGGGATTTTTTTTTTTATATTAATAATGGCGGCGATCAGTGACTTATGGCGGGACTGCGTCGGACATTCTGACATTGGCGGGTACTGATTTGGGGTCACTGACATCCCCAGTGACACCAATACAGTGATCAGTGCAAAAAAAAACCACTGACACTGTACTAATGACACTGGGGAGGAAGGGGTTAACTTTATTTTTCAGGGAAGGGTTATTTGTGTGAGGGGGGGTGTTTTACTAGGGGGCGGGGGTGTGTGCTGAATGGGGACAGGCTGATCGGGAGAGAGAAACTCTTCTGTCCCAATCAGCTTGTCCTCGAGCTGTCAGGGAAGTGACAGAAAGCACAGCTACTGCAGCTGTGCTCTCTGTCACTGATTGCCGCCAATCGCCGGGAGATAGCCAGTAAGGACTGGCTGTGACCCGGCGACTGACATCCGCGGCTGTGATCGGCGGGACAGGTAGGGTGGTGGCGCGCCTCGCACGCGCCCCCTACCTGTTTACAAAACACACAGTTTAAAACGTGGTTTTGCCTGCCCGTGCCGCCCTGCTGCCGTATTTATACAGTGGCTGGGCGGCATGTGGTTAATAGAGCAGTGGGGTAGAGTTAAAAGTACCACAAAATGTTCTTATAGTTGTCTGTCCTGTCTGTTGTATTGTCCAGCCATCGCAAGGGAAAGGAGAATCTAATGTACCCAATGGGGCCACACACAGAGAAGCAAAAATCTAATGTAACCTAACTCTTCCCCACTTTATTTAAATTGATACTAAACCCAGGATCCTGCATTCACTATATCTGGCCTCCCGTAGTACACAGAACATGGAAATGAAATTATTTTCATAAATAAACTGCTAAATACCTTTTTTCTCATCAGCAGTATATAGCAGTCTTGTGACTTCTATCTGTATCCAGCTGAGCACTGGTTGAAGGTTGTAGGAGTTTTCATTCTCCTATGAGGCTGCATAACCCCTGACCCTCTGTCTAAACAGTGTTGATTGGCCCTGTGCTGATCACATGTACCCTCCCCAAAGAAGAAAAAACTAGCCATACACACTAAACTGAGCATGTGCAGAGTGACTCCTAGAACCCTGTACAATCAACAGATGGAATGGGGACAGTAGAAGAAGGAAAAGAATCAGAGAAGACCGGCTCAAAGAGCCTTTTTACAAAATGCTGAGGATTAACCCCTCAGGTTCCATAGTGAGTATAATGTGCATGCTCTACTGGATATACAGACTGTTTTTACTAATCTGGGTTTAGTAACACCTTAAAGGCATAAGGGGCACCTTTGGAATATGTTACATGTTCCACCCATTTTTAGGGTGGAACATGTAATATTGCAGCTCCTGCACCTTCTCCCCCTGATCCCCTCCCCACACCCTCTGTCACAATTTTAATAGAGATTTGTAAAGGTTGTTACCCTAAACTTACCCTGGCCCAAAATAGGGGGGCACTGGTGCAACTGCCAAAAAAAGGAACAATAGGCAAGAATGATAAACAAAGTGAAAAGTCTTTTAGGTCCATATGAAAACACAGTTGCATGAAGTTCACATTATGACGGTGTCAGCAGTCTCTTCCAAGCAGGATCTGTGGAGACTCCCACCAGCAAACCATGTATAAACAAAAAGGAGACAAAGCATCACTAAGTGTAGCATTTATTAAAACATATTGGCGAAATGAAAAACAACAGATACATAGTTAGTCTGGCTGAAAAAAGACAAAAGTCCATCCAGTTCAACCATTAAAAAAAAAAAAAAGTTATCCTATACCCACATTTGAACCAGAGGAAGGCAAAAAACCCAGCAAAGCATGATCCAATTTGCTGCTGCAGGGGAAAAAAAATCCTTCCTGATCCTCAGACGCATTCGGTTATTCCCTGGATCAACCTTACCTATAAATGTTAGTATCCAGTTATATTCTGTGTATCCAAGAAGAGAATCCAGGCCTTTTTTAAAGCAATCCACTGAGCTGGCCAGAACCAACTCTTGAGGGAGTCTATTCCTCATTTTCACAGGTCTTACTATGAAGAACCCTTTCCGTACTTGGAGATTACATTTCTTTTCCTCCAGATGTAGAGTGCCCCCTTGTCCTCTGTGTTGACCTCAGGGTGAATAACTCTACACTGAGTTCACTATATGAACCACTGATGTATTTATACATGTTGATCATATCTCCCCCTTAATCTCCTCTTCTCAAGAGAGAATACATTCAATTTCTCTAATCTTCCCTCATAGCTGAGCTCTTCCATGCCTCTTATCAGGTTGGTTGCCCTAATATGCGCTCACATTTTAAAAGATATGAAAAAAGGTATCAATAGGTCTTCAGCAGGTGGCGACCTTCCAGGTGGTTGATGGTGCACAAGCCCCTCCGCATAGATGTGATATAAGGTGCTTGGAAGCAAGAGGTTGACCAGGGGGACACCAGGAAGAGGCAGCAGAATCAGCAGACCGAGGGTGTATATCACTTGGGTGGGAATCACTGTGGACAGCAGGGAAGTGCTGCAGGTCCACAAGATGACCGTGATGATGTCATGTGTGATGCGGGCCAGCATCGATTGCTACAGGTCTACGGGAAAGTTGATTCCCATCATCCTGTAGTAATTGATACTGGCCTGCCCTCTACCTATATAAACTGACAATTTTCATGGATGGCCAGGTTATTGATATGCTTTTTAATATCTTTTAATATTTGAGTGCATATTTTTTTTTTTCATTTCACTGATGTTTTAATTAATGCACTTAGGTAGTGGCGCTTTTCTCTCTCTCTTTTTGTTTATACAATTTAAAAAGAGCGTGGCCATGCGGGGCTCTGCCTATGCGTCCGTGTCATTTACAGAGTTCTGTGAATGAATGAACTACAAGTATCAATAGCTGTCACAGCTGACAGCTTGCAGTTCATGCATTGTGAGGGCCTGTACGGGAGGTATGGGCAGACCGCTAATGCAATGCCTGGATCCTGTACACTCTCATTCAGCTATCTGTTCGTGGGTTCCATGCCTTACAGGCTGCAGTGTAAAAAAAAAATAAATGCACATTTTTTTTTTTTACCTACAAAACTACACGCATTTATTATTGTTTCACAAAATGTGAACTTAGCCTTTAAAGCAAAAATATAATTGGCTGGAGTTGGACTTTAAAATGTATCAAAGGCCCACGCTGTTCTCGGGAATACCATTTATAGGTAATATTTCACTGCCACATCGGCATATTGCTGTTTTTTTTCCAAATGGCCAGGTGTGCATTCCGAAGCACTGCTTTATATCACAGACACAGCCTAAAATATAGAGCAATTTATCCAAGTTGCTTGCAACCATTGAAATGTCAGGACACTTGATCTGGGTCACTGACTCAAAGCAAAAAAAAGGATAGAACTGACAGTCCTGGAGTTTGTGTGCAAAGGTAGTTTCTATATTTCTGTCCTGACACGGTCTGCGTATATAAGTCATTTCTGGATGCATGAATTTTTTTCATTTTGTTAAATTGCTTTTGGTGAAAATAAAAAAATAAAAGCTTGTTTTAAGAAGGCATTGTAGTCCCGTTATAACATAGCCAATACATTTTTTTTTTTTACAAATTTTTGCTGCTACGTCACACTATACAGACACAATTTGGGACTGTGAATATTGAGCTTTCGGAATCGTCCTTAGAATTACTATGATTAGATCCAGATATTACCAAGTTTGTTACCACTCTCTATTTCTGTCTTCAGTTGGCCAGGACCAACTCCTTCCACATTGCGAAGCATAAGTGGGTGGCAGATGTTGCCTGAGCTGCTTGAGGAAGGTTGGGAGGAAGCTATGGAGGTCTGTTTTCAAGACCTCTAGTACTGCCAATAAATCTACTCAATTCAAATGTATTCATCATCTTCACTAGACCCTGGCTAAGTTGGCTCATATGGGTTTTGGATATCTGACCTCTTGTCCCCGTTGTGACCTTGAGGATGCAGATCTGCTGCACATGTTCTGGGCTGGCTCGACTCATACATTGTATTGGCAGGATCTTCTTGTCTTTTTTGACATGCCCCTGCATTTGTCAGTTCCTCTTGCCCTAGAAGTGGGTCTTTTGGGAACTTTGAATGATTTCATACGTTTGCTTTTGTTTTATGCTAGAAAAAAAAATCTTGTTGAATTGGAAAAATGCTAATCTATCTTCCATACAACAATTCTATTGTATGGTTAACGCTCATCTGCCTAAATATAAGTTGACCTATAAAGGTCAGGCTTGCCCTAAAAAATTTGTGAAAGCATGGCAACCCTGGTTAGACATCTCAGACTCCTTCTGGGGTGATACTCCATTAACTCAGTCACTCTCACATGTCTCCTCAAATTAATCTGGTTCCTACACCACTGCTGTGGTGGCTACGGGCTCTATCTCTCCTGATGATTATGGAGGAGATGGTGGCATACGTATGCTTTGTTTTGTATGAATGTGTGTATTTGTTTTCTCAACCCATCTTGTAAATTTCATGCACATAGCCATAACATTGTCTAAATGCGGGCTCTGCATAGTCCCTACACACTTGTTGTTTTTGGTTTTTGTTGTGTACAACTTATTCTGCCGCTCCTTTTTTGGGGCTCCTGATTGCTTATGTGTCTATTGTAACTTTTGTTAAAAACGAAACGCCTCTTAAAAAGAAGGTTATGTTGTACTTAGTGTTACTAAACCCAGGACCCTGCATTCACTATATCTGGTCTCCCACAGTACTCAGAACATGGAAATGCAATTATTTTAGTAAAAATAAACTGCTAAATACCTTTTATCATCAACAGTATAATGCAGTCTTGTGTCTTCTATCAGTGTCCAGCTGAGCGATGGTTAAAGCTTGTAGGAGGAGTTTTCATTCTCCTCTGTTTTTCGTATGAGGCTGCAGGATCCATGACCCTCTGTCTGGACAGTGCTGATTGGCCCTGTGCTGATCACATGCACCCTCCCAAATAGAAAAAAAAAAACTTTCTAGCAAAACACACCAAAACTGAGCATGTGCAGAGTGACTCCTAGAGCCCTGTACTATCAGCAGATGGATTGGGGACAGTAGAAGGGGAAGACGGATCAAACAGCCTTTTTACACAAAGCAGAGGATTAACTCCTTAGGTTCGACAGTGAGTATGACAAAAATGCTTTACGGCATATACAGATTGATTTAACTCTTGTGGGTTTAGTAGCACTTTAAGTACTTTAGTATTGGGCGCTTTTGTTACTTTCGACCACTTTACTATAATCTGATGTATTCTGCCTTAGTGGTGCTGAAAGTAAGTCGATTGTAATAGCCCCTTCTGTTCAGATATGCTTCTTTCTCCAGGCAGTACTTGACGTTGTTTGGTTATATAGAACTTATTTTGCATGTGTTGCATTCCACATAATAGCTTAAGATGAGTGTTTAAACGGCTGCCTTTTCCTTTTTTTCTCTCTAATGCAAAATAATCATTCCACAGTGACTGCAAAAATTGTTACCCAGATGGCACCAAACCATTTTCCTTTGATTTTTTAATAAGAGGCGCGTTTATCAAAGAGATTTCTCAACTTACTGTTGGTAATGGGAAATAATTTGAAAGGCACACAGTGTGGATCATTATATTTCTTTGATGCAGATTAATGGCAGCTAAAGCAGCGTTTTGTAATTGCTTCATTTTGCCATAGACTTTTTTTTTTTTTCCCTTTGTTACATTACATTGGTGGGAGAACTCTGGTTTAAACTTATAGTTTTTACACGCACGAGGGAAAGATTTGGATGTCTGCCAGTTTCAGAGAAAAATCCACTCATTTTTCAAGTGGCATTGTTGCTTTTGGTGTTTTTTTTTTTTTTCTTCATAAGGTCCTGTATTATATTCCATTATATCTTAAAGGAAACCTTTAATGAGAGTCAGATAATACAGTCTGCAGGTGCTATTTGCCTGGCTGTCATCATCATGCTCTGAGTCATTTTCAGTTACTTACCCAGACATATATAGTGCTTTTTTTGGCTTTGTGACTCAAAGGTATTGAAGCCAGACACCAAGCATTTTCAGGAGGATGTTAACCATGCCAACCTCCATATTGAATAGAATAAATGTAGCGGTATGACCCTTACCTGAGTATTTAGATTTGCTTTTAGCACAAACTGTGGAGAGGTTCTGCCCCTGCGTAGAGGCTGCTATCTGCTGACTGCTTCAAATGCATATATGAAGACAATTCTGTTGCTTACTGTATTTAGGTATATTTAAAAATATAAATCTGTCTGATGTAATTGCAAAGTGCCCCCATCCCTAATAATGAAAATATATTTGGCAACTAGTTGGGACTTTGATGGCAAACAACAATGTTAAAATATAAAAAATCTTATAGTAAATACATAACGACCAGTTCACACTACATGCGCTTCCGTGTGCTTTTTTTCTGCATCCAAAATGCACAGAAAGTAGGTTATATGGTTGACAATGTCATTTTCCTGCACAGAACTGGAATGCGGTAAAACACATAAAAAAAAAATGCACTAGAATGCACAAAAACGCACATGTCCCTATTTAAATTGAAGAAAAAAAGAGGGGGAAAATGAACTGGAAAGCATCAAAAATGCATCAGGTCGGGTCAAAAACGCATCAGGACGTGCCAAAAACACATCTGGGCTGTTTCTATGGTGTGAACCAACTCTAAAATCTACACCAAACGTGTGGCACATAAAATTAGACAATCCCAATAACACTGATACATATACAGAACAAAGGGCCACTGGAACATGCATCTGAACTCCAAAGGGTTTCAATTCATCCAGAATCTTTATTAATGGGTATAGTGTCCAGGCCTGGATATGAATCCTAAATTATACATAAATCATACGAAAAATGGAGATCATCCCATCAATTATGCATCAATGAAATTATAGATAGACATTCAACTACGCCTATTGCCCATGATATTTGATCTAGAGAGTAAAAAGTAGCCCTTTGCGACACCTAGATCCCCAAGGGACTGGACAGTGGGATACAAAGGGCACAAAGAACCCAAAAGCGATCAGTGTGGACCTCTATGGAAAAAGAAAAGCAAGTAAGAAAAAGGTTTATATGGCTGATGAAAATATATATGCATATCCCCAATCGACCTTCCAGTCTAGGGAAATCGCTTGCAAATCACTTAAGCCCTGTACACACGATGAGAATATCGAACGATATTAATATTCTCATCTCAAATGTGAAGAGGTTACAAAAGTTACAAAAATTCTTGTAAGACAGAAAAAATCAGAAGTGATGTAAAGTATTGTATTTTTGGATGAAAATTGTGGTAATTAAACAAAAATCGTACAATCTGGTGTCATACGAGAAAAATGTTTGTGCTTGTCCCTTTCGAATAATTGCACATGAAATCTGTGTACTAACGATCAGATTATCGTACGATTGCATCAAAAGCTGTATTTTTTTGTATGTGTTTGATTATGTGTACTAGGCTTTACTGATAAATAATGCAGGTCTCAGCTGGAAAAAAAAAATGCCAGTACCAAGGTAGAAAGTGTAAGGAGGCCCCTTTGATTGCTAAGTTAAAAAGAGAAATAAAAAAGGGACTCGTTAGTAAACTTTTACCCATGTCTGACTACCTTTCTGCCCGGGAACACTGGCGGGTAAAGTGGAGCTGTTTAGTTTTTATCTAAGATCCCTCAGCACTCACATACAGTTGTGTTCAAAATAATAGCAGTCAGACATCACTAACCTGATCAATCACTGTTTTAATAGAAATGATGTTTCTACATGGCAAATAATTTACTAGCAGGTGTAGTAGAGTAATAGAAATCCAACAGTCATGACATGCATGCTGCTGATTCTGTGTAATTGAATCACTAATTGAAAGGGGCATGTTCAAAATAATAGAGAGTGGAGTTCTATTAGTGAGGTCATTCATTCTTTGAAAAGCAGGTGGCAATTATTGCCCTTATTTAAGGAAGGAAGGCAGCAAATGTTGTACATGCTGGTTACAGTGCATTTCTCTCTAAAATTCTGAGGAAAATGGGTCGTTCCAGACATTGTTCAGAAAAAACAGCGTACTTTGATTAAAAAGTTGATAGGAGAGGGGAAAACATATAAAGAAGTGCAGAAAATGATAGGCTGCTCAGCTAAAATGATCGCAAATGCTTTAAAATGGCAACCAAAACCTGAAAGACGTGGAAGAAAGCAAAAAACTACCATTCGAATGGATAGAAGAATAGCCAAAATGGCAAGGACTCAGCCAACAATCAGCTCCAGGAAGATCAAAGAAGGTCTAAAGTTACCTGTGAGTACTGTTACAATTAGAAGACACCTATGTGAAGCCAAGCCATCTGCAAGAAGCCCCCGCAAAGTCCCACTGTAGAAAAAAAGACGTGCTGAAGAGGTTACAATTTACCAAAGAGCACATTGACTGGCCTAAAGAGAAATGGCGCAACATTTTGTGGATTGATGAAAGTAAGATTGTTCTTTTTGGGTCTAGTGGCCGGAGACAGTTTGTCAGACGACCCCCAAACACTGAATTCAAGCCACAGTACACTGAAGACAGTGAAGCATGGTTGCGCAAGCATCATGATATGGGGATGTTTCTCATACTACGGTGTTGGGCCTATTTATCGCATACCAGGGATCATGGATCAGTTTGAATACATCAGAATACTTGAAGAGGTCATGCTGGCTTATGCTGAAGAGGAAATGCCCTTGAAATGGGTGTTCCAACAAGACAACGACCCCAAACACACCAGTAAACGTGCAACATCTTGGTTCCAGTGGCCAGCCCAATCCCCGGATCTCAATCCAATAGAAAACTTGTGGGGTGACATCAAAAATGCAGTTTCTGAGGCAAAACCAAGAAATAGAGAAGAACTGTGGAATGTAGTCCAATCATCCTGGGCTGGAATACCTGTTCACAGGTGCCAGAAGTTGGTTGACTCCATGCAACACAGATGTACAGCAGTTCTCAGAAACAGTGCTTATACAACTAAATATTAATTAAGTGATTGAAAGGAAAGCAAAATCTTCAAACATTTATCAGTTTATATAGTGAATGTTTGAGTTTGTAAAGAAGAATACAAACACTGCTATTTTTTTTGAACAGTCTAATATTCACTTTTCTTCACTTTTTTTAGAGGAACAACACAAATTTTATATATTTGAATAAAAACTGTTCTGTGAGAAAAAGGGAGGATGCGATTTCAGACCTCTTTCTGAAAGGTCTAGTTCTCTTGTTGTTTCTGTCTGTCTTTTCTCAATGACTGACATAGTCAGAACGCTTGACTGACCTAAAAAAAATATTGAAGCAGTTGGATCACCTTGACAGCCAGGTAGCAAATTCAGAGAGTGGACGGCAATGGCAGCCTACTTTTTTGTTCAGTACAGTTGTCTTAAAGTTCCACATTAAGGGGAATTAATATAATGTGTCTAAGACAAGTTGGATCTCAATTGGTGTTGTTACCCATAGCAATCAATCTGCTTCTGTTCATTTTTGTCCACACAGCTTAAAAAATGAACATTTAAAAGCTGATTGCCTGCACTCCTTGTGAGACAAAGTTTGACACCATTTTTATTTATTCCCTCCATACTGTTTAGTCCTGGTGATGAGGTATATTGGTGCATAAAAATATGCATTGTGAGCCTGCATTTTCTTTGATTTTAAAAGCTATGTTACAATTACATACAGTTTTTAGGCTTTTTATTTCTTTTTGGGTGCTCTTAGCCACTCCACCCCAGAATAGCCAAATAACAACTGTCCCTTCCTAGCATGTGAGATATATTTCCCAAAAGTACCCTCTATAACACCATTTAAAATGAGTACCATTTCATAACAATTGCTTGTATTAGAAACTAATGGTGCTTACATAAACTGCTGAAAATGACTTATAATTTACACTTCTCTTGCAGAAAACAAAATGGATTTGTGTCAAGATGCATCACTCAAATCAAGCACCACTGAAGGAGAATGCAATAAAAAAGAGATAAAGATGTGGTTCAGCCCTCGCAGAGGAAAGGCGAGGTATGTCTTGAAAAAAGGAGTCAATCAGCAGATTCCATCAAAACATGAACAGATTCC